AGACGCCCCATGCAAAGTAAAGTACCTGGTAGTCGCAGTAGATTACTTCACAAAGTGGATCGAAGCCGAGCCATTAGCATGCATATCTGGGAGACAAATTATAAAGTTTCTGTGGAAAAAATATTAGACCAAGGTTTGGAATACCGAAGATACTCATCAGTGATAACAGATTGCAATTTGCCGAGAACCCGTTCCGAGGTTGGTGCGCTGACAAGGGAATTGAGCAACGATTCACGTCGGTAGCACATCCCCAAGCAAATGGCCAAACAAAAGTGTCCAACAGGACGTTGGTAAATGGAATCAAGAAGCGATTGGGAAAAGCTAAGGGAAATTGGGTCGAAGAGCTACCGGGAGTGCTCTGGTCGTACAAGACGACGCCAATAGTTAGCACAAAAGAGACTCCTTTCAGCTTAACCTACGGCACGGAGGCGATGCTGCCAATAGAGTTGATGGTAGGGTCACTCCGAACGACCCATTTCAAAGAAGCAAGCAATAACAAAGATCTAAGAGCATACTTAGACCTCATCGAAGAGAAGTGTGAACGATCAACCATTTGCCAGGCAGCTTACAAAAATGTTGTGGAAAGGTATTATAACCAAAGGGTCAGAGAGAAAGTTTTCAAAGTAAGGGATTACGTCCTAAGGCGAAATGAGGCAAGCCACACCCAACCGCAAGGAAAGTTAGGCCCCACATGGGAGGCACCATACAAGGTCATTGAGGCCCACCGCAGCGGCGCATACATGCTCGAAATGATGGAAGGAAGGTAAATCCCAAGAACGTGGAATTCCAGGAATCTAAGGAAGTTCCATTTCTAACCCGCCACTCGGACTGATCACCCGGGGGACGTTCAACGCCGAAGGCTCAATGCACTTAGGCATGCGACTTTATCTTTCTTTTTATAAAGTAGTCAATGTAACTGCAAGGCTAAACACAACTGTTTTATTAAAATACTCAGTGTATTTGAATGGCCATCCTATTAAAATACTCAGCGTATTCAAATTTAAATACTTAGTGTATTTACAAGGCTCATAATAGCCATCAAATTTAAATACTTAGTGTATATACAAGGCTCAGAATAGCCATCAAATTTAAATACTTAGTGTATTTACAAGGCTCAAAATAGCCATCAAATTAAAATACTTAGTGTATTTACAAGGCTCAAGAATAGCCATCAAACTAAAATACGTAGTGTATTTACAAGCATAAGAAAATACCATTCATATTATAAAACACTGAAGAGTTATTACAAACAAGGCCAGGAAGGCCACCACTATCAACCACTATCAAACCATATGATAACAACTAAAAAGAGCTTCATAGCTTTCTTTCACACCCGTGAGGGGCAACACACGGTACGAAAGTACCTTAAGAATCAACTGGGTTGCCACCACCACCATCGCCTCCCACCACCGCACCACCATCAGCACCACCATCATCACCATTGCCGCCACCACCGCCACCACCGCTGCTGCCATCGTCATCGCCACCATCGTCGCCGCCATCTCCACCAGCTCCCTCAGTTATCATGCCATCAGGAATTTCATCAACCTCATCCAAAGCGCAAAGCTGCCACATACCCTCCATGTCCAAATGCCCCAAACCCAGGAGGGAAGCATGATCCATAGTGGCAAACGCGAGCAGGGCATCATTGACACTAGTAGTGTGGCTGGACCGGGAATCACTGGCACTGGGGTCATAAGATCCATAATCCACCATAGCTTTCAGCCCGCTGCGGCCAGAGTCCTCACCGGTGACGAACGCAACATGCCTGATCCGACTAACAACACTAGTGAACTCCGGATGCTCAATTAGATTGTCCATAATGCGCACAACTCCCACCTGTAAGAGCCAATCCCAGTCGCGCCGAACAGCCTCCGCCTCAGCTCGAGCCTCCTCGAAGAGCTTATCACGGTCACAGACATCACGCTCCAGACTCTCATTCTGAATCATGAGCCTCTCATTAGCCTGGGTCAAGGAGTCTACTTTGGCTTCTAGGGTAGATCAAATTTCTTCTGTAGCAGTTTTCTTCGAAGCAAGTAGGGCACACCTCTGGTCAAAGACGTGAACATCCTTCTCGAGCTCAGCAATCCAACGCTTCAGGTTAACCTCCCCGACACTGCAACTCGTATGGGAAGTTTCCATCTCGTTAAGCATTTGGATACGACGGGCACCAACGACGAGATAGAACATGGCCTGGGCAGCAACATAAGACATATTATGAGCCAAGGCGGGCTGCCACTGGCCTCCATATCGGCGACGACAGCAGGCGTAAATGCATGTCGAGCAAATTCTATAGCGTTGGTGTGGACAGAAAAACGGGACTCATTCTGCAAACTCCAGGCCGGGACAAAAACATTAGATGCAACATCACTCCTAGGGACCCCTTCACGAGGCGGGGGTTTCATGGAACTCATCACCCCCGGGACCCCCGGGGGGAGAAAGATCAGAAGAAGACTGCGGGATAGTTATGACTCGAATAAACACATACATACACATACACATACACACATAAATACATACATACATATACACATAAGCACATACATACACATACACATACATACATAATTACATACATACACATACAAAATATACATATTTCCCATAATTTTCATAATTTTTTATTATTTATACATTAAACGTAGATTATTTCACCTTATTGATGTTTTAAACGTAATTTTTTTTTCTCATTTGTTTGTTTGTTTGTGTGCTAAACACATTCCTTACCATTATTATATATTATCATTGTGTTCATAAATATTTTTAGTATTAGTTATGATTTTTAATTGTTTTTGTTTTAAATATGAAAAAAAAACGATCAAAAAAAAGTTTTAAGACTCGAATAACGAATAATAATAATAATAATAATAATAATAATAATAATAATAATAATAATAATAATAATAATGGAAACTATAAACTCATCAGTATTTCGTAGCTATTATGTAGCTAATCTCCTCTGTCGGTAGTCTGTAACTATTCCGTAGTTAATTAGTGATAGAATACCTATAGATTTACTTCCATTGCTATTCCGTAGTTATTTCATAGTTATTCCGTTACTAAATTAGAGCATTCATTCCGTAGTTATTCCGTCGGTATTCGGTAATTACCTACGGAAATTTTCCGTACCTATTTTTTTGTAGCTAAACCATATGTTTTCTAGTAGTGATAGTGGACTATATTTTTTGGTGTGAAAAAGAATGTAAAAATATGATAGCTTGAAAAAAACCACTATATGATTTATTTTTATAATATTTTTATCTAGAAACCAATTTGGGTTGAAGATGGTCTAAAAATGACAAGTAAAAATTCTATATTCTTGTGTTTTGTCGCATGCATCCTTGACCATATATTGTTGCCCAAATGGAAGTAAATTATCACAATGTTCCAATATGGAAGATGATATGCAGACTTGAACATGAAGACTCATTCTCGATTCTTACATCTTTATCGCTCGGTTGCGGTGACTAATTAGTCCACTAATTTTTTTTATGATATGGAGCTGAATGATATGCTTAAGTAAAAAACCAGTATCATAGAATTTGTTGAAAGATTTCCGTATTATATGTTTTTTTGTGTCAACAATATTCAAGTAGATATAAAAAGGAATTAATATTTGAGCGGTGTTATGACCAACCAGTTTACTGCTCTGCTGTGAATCTGCAGAACTGCAATAAAAGGACAACTGCCATAACATATAACCCTACTGAACACACCTTGTAGGAATGGGCGAACCTGGTGCCTAGAGACCCCATGTTTTTATTATTTCTTGAAACAAGCTGTGGAGATGAGGTCAGCTTAATAAGTTCCATTGAGAAAAAGACACAAAAGCAAGTGCTCTTCTTCCTATGTTACAAGCTGGAACACCACTGCAAAGTCTATAGCCTCTAGATGCCTATGCATATGTTGAACAAAGATTTGGATTTTTTGACATGCAAATAGAATCTCAATAAACAAATGTATATGGGCAATTTCTGCATGTTTTTGAATATGCAGTATGGGTACTCATATGGGTTGTCTCTATCTGCTTTTTCCATTTTCAATGGTATATATTTCCTATGGGCAAACACTCAGATAAATATTTCAAAGGATCGTTTGTTGTTGGTATTTGGGAATATCCGTAATATAAATGATAGATTTTGCACGTTATTTACCTTGTGCTTGTGTCTGCTGGATCACATGCGCCGCTCTTTTTCTTCATGCTAAGTCCGGCCATTTCAAGAAAAGAGTTATATTTGACTTTTAATTAGTCAAACGAGTTTTTTTCCATTCTTTTAACGACCGTTGAAGTATTATCACGAACAACACGATGTAAATACCAGTGCAAAAAGACGAGGTTGATGCACGCCTTTCATGTAGTAACACTGTTTTAATACTTATAAGAATCACTTCCACAACTTTTTTAATAAGTGTTTATGTATGTATTAAGTAGAAAAAGACTCATATCTATCTCGTGACCAACTTTTGACCAAAAAAACACCCACATGGGTATGGGTGTTGTACTCTAAGTTTGTAAATGTCTATCCCCCTTCTAACACCATGTAAAGTTACTTCACATTATCACATATATGAGAAGTACTCGATCCCTTATAAATTTTAGTCACGAGAGTGATCATGAGTAAAGCAGTGGCCCCCTGTATGGACCTAGAGCCCATATTTTCTATTAACTACAAATGCTGGACCATATGTGATCCTTTCAATGTTCTTAGTCGACTATAGCATTCTCCCTCTCTTTATTTCGGTATCATGGTTATCATTTATTTGTTTTTTCATTAAAATAAACATTACTAGCATCCATATTTTCATTTTCTTTGATGATAAATAAAACCTCTATATTGGAAATGTTAGAAAAAAAAAAAAAAAACAAGAAGCCATTTTTATAAAAGAAAATAGTACCATAAAACAATAGTCACTATAACATGGCGAAAACAAGTGTTATTGAGTAAATATTTATGTCACAACATATATTACCAAAAGGGAAATAAAATAAAATAGAAAAAAAAAACATAAAAAGGAAAAAGCCTCGTCTTCCCGTTTTGTACACAACGTCGTAGCCTAGACTGAATCCGGAGAGGGCTATCTTTTTTTTCTTGTACTTTTTTTTTTTCTATCTTTTTATCTGTCAACTTACAAAACTTAAGAAGGCAAAAACAATACAAAATTTAAAGGACAATAGTTTTATTATATGTTTTCTATTTGTTGCATCTTCGTTCACAAGACACTGTAACATAATGATTGGTGTGCTTGGTTTCTTGATTCCAAGTCTTGCCAATGTCTTGTGCAACTCTTATGGCATCAAGAGATGCACCCAACAGACCTCGTCCTGTAAAGCCAACTGCATACACACCCGCTTTCCCTTTCCACCCCTCTGGAAATGGTGTCATCGGCATCCCTTCTTTCGAAAACAAGTCATTTTCCTGTGAAATGCATCTCATTAGGTCATGGGTATAAATGGTATTTCACAATCAAGATTTCTTGAAAAAGTCATTACCTTTAACCATGAAGGAACATTGCTGCGATACCCAGTTGCCAAAATCACTGAATCTATTTCAAGATTTGCTCCATTGACCAACTCTACACGACCCTGTGAAAATTTCTTGATTCCTGGAACTATTTTAATCTTTCCAGATTTGATCTTTCGTAGTGCACCAATATCCAGAACAGGGGTTTTTCCTTTGATGTTTTTGAGCTCTAATGGACCTTTTGATGGCCGATTTATACCATAATTTTTCAAGTTCCCAAGAGTATAACTTGCAAGAACCAGAAGTATCTTGTCAACCACCTTTAATGGTAGCCACTTCATCAATGAAGTTGCCAATTCGAAAGTGGATTTCCCAGCAATTTCCCTCGGCAGTATATGAACCTGATTATCATTATAAACCAACCAAGTTCATTAGAAAGGAACTAAAGGCATCGTGTAGTAATTAGGTTCCTTTTACATGAAATAAAACTCACCGAGCTTCGAACCACCATGGATGGAAAAGCATTATGGTGGCAGAGATCAAGAGAGACTTCCATACCGGAGTTCCCACAGCCAACCACCAAGACTCGCTTTCCTTCAAAAACCTCACCGGACCTATAATCACAAGCATGCATAACTGTGCCATCAAACTCATCCAACCCTTCAAACTCCGGCACCACTTTCTCAGCATTCTCCCCTGTCGCCACCACAAGCCACCTACAGATATACTCCATCTCACAGTCACCTGTCACAGTCTTAACACGCCATAGCCCACAAGTCTCATCATACTTGGCCAACTGTACTGACTCATTGAACCTCGGGTTAATCTCAAACTTCTTGGCATAAGATTCAAGGTACTTGATAAACTGATATTTCGAAGGGTATTCTGGGAAATTTGGTGGGAAGGGGTAGTAAGGTAGTTGGCAGAATTGCTTTGGGAGATGGAGTTTTAGACGATCATAAGTCTTGTTTTGCCAAAGAGACGCAATGCAGTTGGCACGATCAAGGATCACAAAGGGCACCCCTTGTTGCTTAAGCCCTGCACAAACTGCAAGACCAGAAGGTCCAGCCCCTACTATAACTGGTCCGTTGACCAGTATGCATCTTCGTGAGAATAACTCCTCGTGTTCAAGAGCATGATGAACCATTGTTGGCAAATGATCAGGATGGTTATAACAAGCACAATGCATCAAAAGAGAGTACAGAAAGATTGTGAGTACTGAGTGCGACAGAAAACCTCTAAATAGGAAGAATGTGCAACATTAAGTATGTGAAAAGCAATGTGTGGAGGGGGTGAGAGGGAAATGCAGAGGTATAAATAGGGTCTGCATGTGTTTGGGATTGGAAAATGATAGCCTTAAGAAGGTCCTTTTCTGAATGATTTGTGTGTGAATCATAACAGTACACTAATATCTTATAAATAAAACTTCGTTATTATATCCTCTAGTTTTTTTTTTCTTGCTTTCCGTACCACACATCCTTTATGAATGTCGAATAAGTATATCTAGTGATTTTGGAAATCAATATCCTAAAATGGGACAACAATTGGTTCGAGTAGGTAAACTAATAGGAAAATATACTTTCTGAGTAACATGACTAGTTAATCAAAGTTTTAAATATTAGTTTCTTAAGGTTAGGCAAACATTTTTATGATTAATGGAATTGAAATAATAGATTATGGTTTTGTTAAGTTATAATCATAAATCTTAACGAAAATGTCATGAAAATATCCAAAGTTTAGGCAAAATAGACAGTTCTTGAGCTGAGATGTGGTCCATAGGCCTCTAACTAAGTTGCTCGTTTATTTATTTGATCTTTTCTTCAAATTCCCATGGTGGGTCAGGCACATGCTGACTTACAAAATCTTGTACTAATCCCCTAATTGCATTATTCATTCAACATATCTAGACTATATGGCTTGGGCCAACTTTTGGCGTTGAGAGGCTAAGGTGACATTGCTCAACGGCGTTAAGGCCATCGAAACACCATCCCTCATAGCCGTTGAGTTAAGAGATGTTGCCTCTTAACGTAGCTCAACGCGTAAATTGAAATCATATGACCGTTTGGGACGATCAAACTGGAATAAAAAAACATTATATTCTTTTTCCTATAATAAATGTAACACATTTACACACAACTCTTATCTTTTTATACAAGTTTCCAACAATTTTTTTTTATTGTGGATCCATTTGACTCGTTCTACTACGATGATGATGATTAGGCGTGAACCTACTTGGTGTCACAATTCCGTCACAAAGTTCTAATAAGTGTAAATTTAATGTAAATATGTCGGTGTCTTTTGGTGACGGATTTTGTGATGTAAATTGCCTTCGGAAAATGAGTATTTTTTAGTAATGCAACCCTTGTGCAACCCTTAATATTTTTTTCTACATCTGCCACTGATGATATGTTAATCACCATGATGTACGAGTATTACACTAACGAGTTACTAGAAGAAGATGTAGTCCCTCTACTAACAAGAAGCGCGGTGTTAAATAGAAATTCCGAGGAAGGACACGGATGATTATATTACAATTACTTTGCAGATAATTACGTATACCAGTCAAAGGATTTCAAATGAAGATTTCGTTTGAGCAGAAATGTGTTTGTACGGATAGCCAACGCCTTGGAAAGAAGGTATCGTTTCTTTCATGTTTATACATAATAAAGTTATCTTTATACAAAAATATATACATATTTTTACCTATTAAATATAAGTCTAGGTATAGTTTTTATTTCCAGATTGAGATATGATGCTAGAGCTAGGTGTGGATTCACACGGTTGCATAAATGTGTTGCGATAATTCTGTTGATAGCTTACTGTAGTAGTGTTAATCATGATGACGAATGCGAAATATGAAATGATTTAGTGAATCATACAAGAATCATGAACACGAAGAACACAAGAGTAAATAAATATGAGTTTAGCTCTCATTAGTTTTTAGAAAGAGTACAAATGGGTTTGCAATATTTCTCTCTCTAAACTAATCTCTCATAAATGTTCCTTCTTTACATAAAATGAGTGTCACTCACTTCCTTATAAAGAAAAGACAACGCATTACACACATACAAAAGAGTAAGCATACATGACTGTAGTGGTGTTGATTATGATGTCATATGCGGAATATGAAAGATCTAGTGAATCATCATACAAATCATGAACACATGGAATAAATAAATATGTTAAGCTCTCATTAGTTGAATTAGAAAGAGTACAAATGGGTTTGCTAGTTTCTCTCTCTAAAACTAATGCTCTCCAAATGATTTCTTACATAATGGGAGTCACTCACTTCCTATTTATAGGAAAAGACTCAACCCATTTACACATACAAGAGGGTAAAGCACAAATACATCCAAGCGTGACTTTGCACCCTAACATTCTCCCCCCTCAAAGTTAGGATTGGATGTCCCGGCTTCAATATCCAACGAGCTCGCGCGATCAAGACCAAACTCCCTCTTGAAGTAACATCGATCTTCAAATCCGCAAGTGAATACCCGAAAAACCCGAGAAGCTTCGAATACCCATTCTTCATTCTCCCCCTTTTTATAATCAAAAAATGATTATAAAACCCATTAAGGGTGACAAGCGCCTGAGGATTAATCTTCACATAACTCCCCCTTGATGTGCGCTAAAAATGAAACCTTGAAAATCTTGCATGGAAAAACAATCACGAAAAAGCCTTAGAAAATTTTCAATTTTGGAAAATTTCGAATTTTGGGTGAGAGTTGTAAGATTTTCCAAAATCCGGGTAAAAACTGTCACTTTCTGAATTCTGCAGGGACCCGTTGCCTCAAAAACAACTTAAGATGCCAAACTTTACCCCATTTGCGAAATTGGGCATAAATTGTAAATTCACACAAACTGCAGGGACTGAACTTGTAAATTCTTCAATTTCACAGCTTTGTTAGCCCAATTTCGAAGTTGGGTATTTTCTGCCAACATTTTGAAACTACAGGGGCTAAAAGAGAAATTCATCTTTCTTCACAACTTTTTACTCCAAATTAGAAACTGGACCAGTTTTGCCATTTCGTGAAAAGATGAAGGATAAGTTTCAAAAGTTTTGGTTTTCTTTCCCAATTCGTTTGTAACATAGAGTCGAATGGGAAGTTTGACCAAGCAAAATCAAAATCGAAATCCACATCTCCAACCCTTCGTTAGTCGATATCCAGTTTTCTTTTTCCAACCCTTCGACTATCGAACCATGGTAACTCGACCATCGACCACAAAATTGAGGCAAATCATTCGACAGTAAGGCAAATCCATTCGACCATCGACTCAAAATCTTCGTCCTTCGCGTTTCATTCTCCCCAAACACATCAACAGCAAACCTTCACATGTCGCTTTTTCATCACATCGACATCAAAGTCATCCTCCCCCTTCGAAATCAACGTACAATCCTTCCCTTTTTGACACCAACAATTCCTTCGCTATCAATACAGGGACCCTTCGCCCTTCGCTTTTTCATCACGTCGACTGAAGAATTTCAGTTAACATCATCGAACCAAAATCATGACTTTCGACTGTAAAGTTTTGACCATCGATTCTCGATTCCACATCATCAATCGACTTCCAATACCTTCCCAGTTCGTAATTAGCCAAGTCGATGTTGTTTCATCCCCAAACCATCGACCATCAAACCTGATTCCAATATCTTCATCAACAATAGATTACAGTCCTTCGTTCTCAACTATCGATGGATTCCAATATCTTCATCAAACATCAATTGGACTAAAAAACACAAACAACAACAATACTTCGTCATTCGCTATCAACATGCAGTTGGATAAGGTGTCTAAGTCCATAACTTATTTGGTATATACTTGACCCGACCCGACATGGTCCATTTGGGTTGCACTTCACCCGAACTATTTATAGGGATAACATTATGAGAATAGTATATTTGCGGCCTACTAATATATTATAAGTTATAATATATTAATATGAAATTGTATTATTTAATTAGTATTGATCTTAAATTAATTATGAATTAATTTAGTGATCATAAGGTGACTAATTAAATAATGGGCTATTGTACTTATATAGTGTGGGCTAACACTCATAAGGAAATGGGCTAAGCTTGAATGGGAGTCCATGGATGATCCATGGAGCTTTTAACCCATGGATCCTTGGAATAGGAAAAGACATGGGTTATTAGGGTTTGCATGGTTCATAACCCTAATCATCTACACTATATAAAGAGGCTTATGGTGCTTGAAAAGACACTATGTGTGTGTGCATAAGGTGTGGCCGATTTCTAGAGTATTAGAGTGCTCTCTCATAAGTTTTCCAAGTTTGTGGTGATTTGTGATTTCCATTTGAGGCATTCACATTATTGGTGCTTGGCTCTCAAACTCCCAAGGAATCAACTCACTAACAAAGGTATGTAATTCTTCTAGTATCTTTTATGTTTAAAAGTACCCCATGTATGCTAGATAGGTTATGAACCTTGGAAAATTATTTTGCATGTATTTTATACAAACATAGATCCAAGGTTTCTAGGGTTGCATGAACACCTTAGGAGTGTTAGTTTGCTCAAAACCCAACAGTGGTATCAGAGCCTAGGCTTGTTTGTTTGATACTTGATGCAAACTTGTTGAAAAACTCAAGTTTTCTGCATTTTGCAGCATGAACTCGCCGAGTCCATGGGGGGACTCGCCGAGTCCATGAGTAAATTCATCCTACTCGTCGAGTAGGTTCGTGCACTCGACGAGTAGAAGCCTCAGAATGCAGATTTTCGAGTTTTGCTGCTGGAAATGGACTAGAAACATTACCCTAAACTGTTTTGGTGTTATAAAACCTGTTTTAGATGGTGTAATGTTTATGCTAATCCATTTACAATGGCTTATATCAAAATTGCATGATAATATGTGTTCATATGTTCTTGGAATTTTTGATATGATGTTCATGTTCTTATGAATTATTGTTAGATCATAGGAATTATTTGCTAAATTGTTTATTGATAATTCTTGATCATTTATGTGTTTTAATGGAGTCCATAATTTGTCCTCAAGTTATGGATTTCCAAAGGTCACTTTCATTTATGCACACTTAAAACACATAAGTTACATGAAAATGAAGAGTCTTCATTTTATGAACCTTTAATTCATAAGTTATGAAATGAAAAGTTTTGAATAGTTTCAAAACTTGTCCTCAAGTTTTGGAATTTGTAAAGTTACACACACTTTAATATACTTTAA